ACAGTTCTGGGCCTCAGCCAAGTTGGATTATAACCTGCATAAACTCACACGGAGTCTGAAGCGGCACCGATACGTTTTCTCTAAACTAATCAAATCTCATAAACTTTTTAACTTAGTTAACTTAACACATGTATGGAAGCACATGGGCTTTGGTGCTTTTCATGATTGTCTGTATTAGAAAACGTGGAAATTTAATTATAATAATGTAATGGATTATGTATTAGTAGGTGCTAACACAAGGTCAGCTTTGTATCGGTTGCGGAAGCCACATTATTCTTTACACAGGGAAGATACTGAGAGCATGGGGAAACTATTAACATAGCTTTTTACTTATCACCTTTAAAAAAAAGTAGGGGGAAACATATAAGTTTCACTACTATGCTTTACAGTGCTGCAGATTTTGAGGTAAGGAAAGATCCACAAAATAAAATCTCAGCTTCTAGGGAACTGTGGGAAACGTGTAGTATAAAAAATATTAAGCTTCAATTCATATATTTGTAGAATGCCAAACCATTTGTTCAGGCTTTGATCGAGATATTTTCCTTTTATAGTTTGATTAATTTTTGAGAATAAAATAAAATCCTGGTTATGTGTTTTTTTTACTAATTGCACATTAAGCAGTAAACAGAAAACACTATGTCCCTGTCCTCACGCCTCACTTCATCCACTTTTTTCCCTCCCATCATCCCCCCTTCCCTTTCCTCACTCCAATCCCAAACCCCTCCACTGGTCCCCCACCCCTTCACTCTTCCTTCCTTGTTCCCCACTCCCTTTTTGCATCAAATCTTCCCTTCTCCCTTCCCTTCTTAACAGCCATGTTTGCCATGGAGATCAACGTGCAGCACGACCCGCAGACGGGTGAGCAGCGCATCCTCTCGGCCAACCGCGTGAACCCGTTGGATGCAGCTTCACGTGGGGTCAAAGTCTACGACGATGGCAGAAAAGTGGTCTATGAGGTCACTTCCTCTGGGGGCGTGTCCACCACCACCGTAGAGAATGGCTGGAGCTCTGAACAGGTTGACCAGCTAATCCAGAGAGCTGCCAGACCTGTAGTACGAGGCGGGGACGGCGGGAGGGGTCAGGTGACAGTGACTCCAGCTGCCCCACAGGCGTACGTTTCTCCAGCAGATGTTGATGATCTGTCCCCACCCTCCTGTGCCCCGCCATCCATCCCTTCTAGCCCACCAGCCCAGGTTACACTCCAGAGGGAAACCCGTCTGGGCATGATGCCCCCCTCCTCTGCTGCTGTCACGACCCAACCAACATCCTCAGGCCACCCGGGCACCGAGCTCACTTCCCCGCCCCAGGCCAGCGTGGAGCACCCAGTCACCATGGTGTTCCTCGGCTACCAGGACGTTGAAGACATGAGCGAGAGCAGACAACTGTTGGGATTCGACGGCGCTGTGAAGGCTGAGGTTGTTCTCATCGATGAAGATGATGAGAAATCACTGAGAGAGAAAACAGTCACCGACATTTCCATCATCGACGGCACAGCAGCAGACCTCGTGTCGGGCCGGCCAGTCACATCTGAAGCTGTCAGCACCGAACTGTCTTCTGATGGCCGTGAGCCTGACAGTACCTCCTCACCCCCTGCAAATCCAGAAGCCAACACGGTCCCCCCACCCGGCCTCACCCCTGCTACAGGTACAGACAAGAGGAAACGCTGCCAGTGCTGCATCCTCATGTGACTGAATCTTCTCCCTTCTTCCACCCTTTTATTATTACCCTCTTCTCCTCTGTCTTTGGATGATTACTAACAGAAGCCCTGCCTTCCTCCTCCTCCACCTCTGGACTCTGATCGGCTGGCACACTCATACACGCATACACGCTCTTGTCTGACTGTTGACTTTTTACTCAGTTGCATTACCACCTCTACATCTCTTCTCTTTCATTATCCTCTCTGTCAACACGGAGGCTCTTTCTTTCCATCTGCCGTCTCCTCAGACAACACAGAATATTTCGGAAATTCATGCAGGAAGCAAGCTGCTGTATTGCTGCTATACTTGTGGTGAAATCAGACAGAGAGATGGACAAAACTGATACTGGTTGACAAACAGCTTAAAGAGGGTCATACAAAGCCAATCTCAGCGGTCAGTAAGACTTTATGGACAATCAACTCACATTGATATGCTCTCTAACCAAACAGTATGTCTGGTTCTAAGGACAATCAAGCTCATCTCCTTTATTAAGCCAGTTCTTAAAATATTAAAAAAGACAAACACAGCCTCAGTTATATATATTTTTTACTTCTTTACTCACTCACAACCCTCCTGCTGTTGTTTTAACACATAAGACACATAAACAACCACACACGCGACATACAAACTCAAACAACCAACTCCTTTCCTTGCGCAGTCTCTCACTCATGAGGAAGGAAAGGTGGGTACTCGTTGCCTTGGTTTCTTTATGTGCCTCTTTCATTCTACCACACTGATAGTCCTAACAGAGATTAGAAGTAATTAGATATTAATTTCTTTTTTTAATTAGCTAGCTAATTTTTTTTTTGTTTTTTGAAACTTAAAGGACTCTGAATTGTTGAGACAAAGTTTTCCTCCAACGGGAAACCGAGTCTTTGATGCTGTAGTTAATTTCTCTCTCTTTCTCTCATCCATCTGTCTCCATCTTCCTCTCTGTCTGTCGCTCGTTCTCTCTGGTGTTTCCTCCATTGACTTCAGCTATTCCACTGCTGAGGTCATTTCCTCTGATTCTGGCACTTCCTAACTCAACAGCCAATGAGAAGCTGTGGAACACCTTTTGGCAGCCATTAGGATCTGCACAGTCAATTTTCCAATGTTTCAAAACACTACAGAGCACAGGAAGCTAAGGGCAGCTTAACAAATACTCTGGCAGTGAGGGAACACAGATTTATACCTATAGAAACAACCACTAACAGCCTGGGCACAAACATGTGAATAATGAATATTAATGAGCACTACCACTACTAAATTACAACTATAATAGCTGTGCTCAAATGAGCTTTTAGACAGTGATCATGTGCAAATTACAATCATCGTTTTTTGTCCATTAAATTCACTTCATTGTCTCCACCAGAGATCCATTATACTCTTTCAAGTGCAAAGAGACTGAAAACACTGCCAGCTGTTGCTATAGCCGTCGACCAGGCCCTCGTTTACAAGGGTGCTACAAATTATCAAGGCCTGGTTGTCATTATAACATAGTATATGTTACACTGCATTGGCTTGTTTTCAGAAAAATCTCTCAAAAGCAATTGTGCTCATTCAGTTGAATGATAATGGATGCTCTGGAACAACTTTACTTCATTTAAAGTGTCTTTCATGTTGGGTAGAACAGGGAGGATGGTGGTGCTCAATATAGATCTTTTGAAAAGATTTTTGGAGAGTTAATGATTACACTTTGCCATTGTACCCTGCAGAGAGACAAATGAATGGGGTCACTGAAGCTATAGGGACCAGATAAGAAGCACGTGATTGAAGGAAATGACTGCGCTTTTTCGGCCATGTTGGAAGGTTCTTATGACCCAGATAATTAGATTTAGGGGTATTCTGTGGCTCAGGTGTGCCGCTTGATATAGGAACTATAAACATCATGAATATAACTATATCTAAAACACCGAATGGAACCTAAACTATTTAACTAAAGGGAATAAATTGGACACAGGATGCTAAACAATCTTTTTTTTTTGAGTGCACTATTTTTCTTTCTTTCTTTTTTCTTTTTGCTTTACTTATCCCGATTCTACCGAAGAACATAGTGTTTTTTTCCACACTGTGTACCAACTCTGATCATCACAAATAAGAAACAAAATAGTATTTAACAAAAACTAGCAGATTTCAATAATTGCTTATTTTCTTATGTGGCTCTGTGCACAGCCATACATCCTTTTAATAAACATGCTTCAGTGTGATTGACCACTGCTGGTGTCAGTCAGTCCAGCTGGCTGTGTGATTGGCTCGTCTGGTTTCCAGTGTAGATACAGAATGTAAATATGCTCTATATTCTATTCAGTGATGATTTTATTTTCCACATCTATATAGAGATCTAGAGATAATTATAGTTATTATGGTACTAGGCATTGTTAGAATGTCCTGTGATACCATATAATGACTGAATGAGTGCACACACGAGAGCTTTGTATAATTTCATTCTCTCACTTCACTGCTGTGTGTATTATTAACACCACCCATCTTATGACCACCACAAGCTTTTTTTGGCCAAAAATAAAATAGCCAGATGTACTAGACATAATTATTTTATTTATCTGCACAGAACAAGTGTGAAGGCTGGAGACATTTGCCTGTTCAGATTTACTGAAACATGAACAATTACCTATAGCTATTTGTTTTTAAATAGTGAGGACACTATGCAGAGAAGGGTTTTCTTGAAAGTATAATGTTAGTTTCACTAAAGTGTGAAGGCGATAGGAAGTAAAGCAGAGCAAAGAAAAGAAAGAAACACCTATAAATGAAAATACAAATCCCAAAATAGCAAGACGGATCTTGATATCAGAACCTGACTGATCCAGTTTGCTTGTTTGGGAATGTGCCTGTGTTTTTCATGTAATGCAAAGAGGTATACAGTGTATGAACAACAAATTTGTTGAGTTTACCAGCCCCACTGCCACGCCTGCAGTACTCCTCTGACTCTGTAGGGGTCTCTGTTTTCCTGTCTGCCTGCCCTCATGATTGTATGCACTGTTAAAACAGAAAGGAGCCATTTTCTATTGTTCACACTTCTCTCTCTCTCTCTCTCTCCCCCCTTTCTCTGGTTATGAATTCACACTGTACTCCAGTCTTCACTCTCACTCTCTCGCTCTGTCTTTTCTGATGTCTGTATCTTCTCTCTATCTTTGGTCAATAAAGCTGAGTTTCTCCAGTTCCCCCCTGCTGTCTCTCGCTTGTTGTTCTTTCCATCTATAACTAACATTCACTTTTTTATTGGCTGCTGACAATGAGAGCACAAGCTGTCCTTACTGCACCCAGCTGTTATAATACCCACTGCCACTAACGAGCACGCACTTTGTATTTTCAATGCTCACCTAAGACACTCTGGACATCTACAAAGACACTTTACAGACCAATATATATATCTCAGTTGTGATGGGTTTTTAATAGCATCCCTTTAAACTATACTGAATATAAATACATTTAAAATGCAGTCGGTCAGTGTGAAGGAGAGGAAGGTGTATGGTTGTCCACAATTCATACAAACAATTTTAAAAACAGTTTCAATAAGTTAGAAATTAGAGTCACTGTGTAGATGCACATTAGAATAATTGCATAGTATTAGTTACAAATATTCTATACACTATTACAAAATACAACAAAATCTTGAAAATATGGATTAACTGAATGCACAAAATGCATCATTTACAGCATTTTTTTAAATGTGAAATGGTTTGAATTTTGAAGTGGCCTAACTGAGACACTGTAACATGGTGTGAGTCTGTTCCTACAAAAAATATCAGCATATTAATATAAGATGCTGTGCAAGTTTTTTTTTTATGGATTTCCTTTACAGTATGACTTATCACTGTTTATGAAAATCTGCTCTAGTAGTGCTGCAACAGTCCTACAGGGAGAGATACTGGGAGTATGTGATATCTAATAAAATGATATGATTCAAACGAAAAGGTTGATAAGACAAGTGTTAAGAAAGCATTCCGATTCCGAGAGTAAAAGTACTAATTTTACACTCTAAAAATACTACATTACAGGTAAAACTATAAATGGGACAGTGTATTTATAGCTACAAGAGAAAGAAAAACACTGGTATATAATTAGCATCTCAGTTCTACAACAGTCGGTGTAGGTTGGAGCTAATTATTAATCATTTCATTTACTAGTGCTCTAAATATGTGCTTGCAAGTCACACTAATCATCTTTTTTTTTAACTGGAAAGAAATAACACTACTGACAAACATCCATCATCAGGCACAATACTTTCTCCAAGCAAAAGTTCAAACCAATAAATTGTAACAAATGAAAATTTCTGTTTCACATGTATACGATTCGGGGTAGTTCAATCTATAACAAAGCATGATATTGTGCAAGCTGAGCACAGCTACATTCCAGCATTGGGCACAACCTCAGGAAGGTAAGTATTTGAGAAGGTAGATAAGAAGGAATGTAGGAAGGAGGGCAGAATGACTGACAAGCAAATTTACTTTTAGGAAAGTAGCGGGCAGTTACAAGGAAGTACAAGTACACTAAAAGGTACACTAATAAACAGAATCACTTGTCCACTCACTGATTTAATTGACAACTCACAACTTCACAACAGTAAAAGAAAAGGGTGGTGTTAGAGAAAAAGAACCTGTCACACTATGAATTTTGCAATACAGAAACATGGACAAATAGTGCTCATAAAGCACACTTCTGTAGGACTAACAGTACATTAGCAAACAGTAAACCCCTCAAATTTAGAGATTTGCTGTGCTGTATCATCGTTGTGGTTTGCAAATCTTTTCCATAAGATATAATTCAGGGTGATAAATGATTCTCTTAGGGAAGTTGTGACAACCAGTATCTGGAAATAGCAATCAGGTTGCATACACACTCTCAGTGCACAGGATGGGTGTGTATTGTGTGATAATCAACAGTAATTGACTTATCTTTAGCCAATGGCAGCCTAGTGCCTTTAACAGAAACCAGGACTGCGGATAATTATTGCACACACAGGCATACTCACACACGACAGGATAATAATACATGTGCCAAGAGCTACTCCTCTATACGAGCATGCATCATTGAGATGAAGGAGATTTGGCCAGCTTCAAGCCCCCTTATGCACAGAAGTTCCTCTTATATCACCTGAACAGAAGTTCAGTAACACTAAAGCACAAGAAACAGTAATGATGGAAATTAAAAAGGTGGAACTAAGAGTGCACATGGCATAAAATCATTTAAAAAAAACAGCAAAAATGGAAACAAATTCAAAAGAGAAATCATACGACAGATGCAACTAATGTACAATGCAGTCATCCTGAGTTTTAACAGAGTGCCAAGTATTATTTCCTTTTATACTACAAGGTTTATTACAGGTCTACCACTACTGGTGCTGATGCTACTAATTCTGCTACTGCTACCACTGCATGCCACCTTTACTAACACCACTTTCATTAATTTCACAGCTGTCCTTCTTATTGTTCTTTTTAGTTTTTCCTTGCCAGAATGTAGTTGTGGGATGTAAAGTGATATCAGATTAATAAGCAAAAGCACTCACTGAAGTGTAAGGTAGTTTCATGGTGTAGCAGAGTTTAGTATTGAATAGTTTCATCTGTAATGCTTTAGAAATGACATTATATTTTACAAATATTAACAGTAATATGTGCAAAAGCTAAAGCATCTAAAAAGCAGCAATAATAGAATGTTAATCAATCAAACTTTTAATCAAACCTTAAAGAACACTAAATCTTTTATTTTAGAACAACAGTAAAATTGCTGCTGCTAACTGCTAACTACTGTAGCTTCAACAGTGGCAAAATTAGCATAGTTGTGACAGGCATAGTAGTAGCAGGAGTTTAGCCCGTACTATCAATGATTGTCCTGTAGAAGCCCAGTAGAAGTAGTTTCAGAATGAATCTATTTTGACAGATCCATGCTGATATTTTCTACTCCTACAGCAGTGTTGCTTCTTCATTTGCAGTGAGCATGGGTGTAAGATATGAAATCAGATGTAGTCCCAATGAGGAAGAGGGTCAATAAATGGGCAAAGAACCTAATCAAGAGAAACTACAGCCACAGCGTGTGATGAAGCATAAAGATTTACTGTCAGCGTAATGCTAGTGCAGATTAGAGAATTTTTAAAAATTAACAACAGACCACAAAGGCATATGTAGAGGCATATGAATCCGACCCATACATATTCCCAAAAGAATACTTTAGAGGCTTTATCTGATAAACTTTTAGAGTATCAGTATAGATCTGCATGTAGAATATTAGGCTAAAAGAGGGTTATTTATTTACTTCATAAGAAATATAAAGACGGTATTCAGTAAGTGAAACGCTCATAGTTTATACTGACTGATACGTTCTCAAGAAGTCAAACGTGGGATCAATCATTGTCCTGTGTTTTGTGTTTGGAAGTGTCATCAGAGGTTTGGTTTTTAAGCATTTCTAAGTATTGAAGCATGTAATAATTGTGTTAATTTTGATCTGATTATAGATCCACAGTGCAGGTCTTCCAGAGGTGAAAATTAATCTAAAATTTGGTACTAATAACTTCCTGTTTGTTTGTTTTCCAGTCTACAATCAGACATCTGGAGTTACTTTGACAACAGCAAATGGATGCCAATCTCCCACTGCAAACACAAATCTTCATACTGCTATGGTGAGTAAGATGTATACAGAAGTCAAGCAAGTTTAATTTAAAACTTCATATTGCATCTAGAAAAAGGGCAAGTGTTACCTCACAGTATTATTCACATAATGTGTTCAAACGTTAGTCAGAAACCTTGGTTTGATATATAAAGAGGAAAGGACTACCCCAGATAGCTCTCTCAATTTCAGTCAACTCATGGTCTGCAAGGTGCCCTTGTCCTACGGCTTCAAAACAAGCTAAAATCATCACCCATGCACTACCATGTTTGACAGTTGGTCTGAGGTGTTTGGGTTGCACTTGTCATGCAACTGCACGTGCCCCTAACCATCATAACTTTTATTTAGTACAAAAAAGCTAGCATTCATCCTCCAGCTTCACTGTGTTTATATTATACTAACCATAGCTGTGTGGCTAGCTACCAGTGTTGGGAAGGTTACTTTTAAAATGTATTCCACTACAGATTACAGAATACATGCCCCAAAATGTATTTTGTAACGTGTTACGTTACTCAATGAGAGTAATGTATTCTGAATACTTTGGATTACTTAATATATTATCAGGAGTTTTACAACTACATGAATGTACTATTGCTGTGTGATTTATTACTATTACTGAAGAATACTCGCCATACCACTACCAACTAGATGTTTAAATCTTAATATAAAATGAGTAACAGTAGGGTGGACATTAGGTAAGGCTGCACTTTTTGCAGCGTTCTCGTATAGAAAACTATTTCGTGCATATATAAAACAGGTCCGCGGTTCCAAACCGTAGTAAAGGGACCTCTGGCTAATACGGTGGGTTCTGTGTCGGGCTCGTAGCCGAAAACTAGCTTTACTTTGTTGTCTGGGTCAACTTTGCTAGCGAGAGACAGAGAGAGGCTGCTCCAACAGAACTTATTGTTTTGGAGGAAAACATTAACACAGAGTACAGTCGAGTCTTCATAGCTCACTTCAACTGGGCTACACTGCCCATGAGGCTACATTCTTTAGAGCTATGCCTGTAACACTCTGCTTATTGCCTTCATATTAAATAATTTTTTGAACAAATTTTTTTAAAAATATTTCTTCACGTCATTATGTGGGCCGCAAGTAGAGGTGACATGGGCCGCGAGATTGAGACACAGGCATCAGAGCCTCTTAATGCGTGATTTGTTTGGGTTTCCACCGGCGTGGATTTACCAAAAACAGAGAGGGTATAGCCTAACATATGAAACAGGAAAAGACCGCCGTGTAATCCATTTATTTCAACAAAGTAACTATATTCTGAATACCACCTTTTTAAACGGTAACTGTAACGAGATACAGTTACTCATATTTTGTATTTTAAATATGTAACACCGGTACATGTATTCCGTTACTCCCCAACACTGCTAGCCACCATGTAGCACATCATTATACCAGCTTGCCCCTTCAAACATCAGTGCTATTTGGTTTTCTGTCTTCATTTGGAAGTGATAGCAGAGCTGTATGTTTCAATTCTTCTGAAATCCCTCAGTCAGATTGTTACATTGTTACACCTGTGTAAAGCATCCGTACTGATCAGTGTTCATTTGACTTTGGGACCAGAAGCGGACTTTGGACCTGGAAACGGCTAATGACGTCAGACTTAAAGACGGGATAACCCTCTTAAGTCCTAGCGTTAAGGGTGCACTTACTTTCTCACAGGACTACAATCTTTTACATGACTCTGCATTAAATTACACCAATGGTTAAAATGAGTAAAAATGTAAATTAAATGTAAAAAATATGAATAAAATATAACTAAAATTATTAAATAAAAACCAGTAAAAACTAGCTAGCTCTAGCTCAGTAGATGACATGGCATAAAACTGGACTAGACCATTCACTGTATAAATATAACTAGACTATTCTAGAATGTAAGTATTTCAGTAAATATTCTAACTTCAGTATCCTTTAGAGTTCTAGAGCAGTGTTTCTAGTGGTACTTGCGCTCTCTCTTGTGGTACGCAGGAAATTTCCTAAGATTAAATAATATACCATTGTGGAGGTATGCAAAGATGACATGAGAGTTCCCGAGGCTCTTCTGGGAGCCGGAGTCAACCAGAAAACGTCTCCCTGAGCGTGAGTCCTCTATGAAGAGCATCCTTTGCCTATCGCCAGCAGTTGCAGGCGCTACAGAGCGCTGGCGGGCTCGTTTCCCTGGGCCTTAAAACTACAAATGCATCATTGAGATGAAGGAGATTTCATGCTGCCATCCCAGCCACCATCGATGAGTCGGAGGCCCCCAGGAGAATCGGTGGGGGCGCAGGTGATGCCGTCAGTGAATCAGGAACAATCGCCTGGATGTTGACGAGGCCAGCTCACACCGGCATCTGTCAGAAGAAGACGTGAGTGAAGAGGAATCCACTATCATCCATTTCTAGCAAGGACAGCATGCTCTCCATGAGCTCGAGAGCGGTACCATCACACGGCCCAAGAGAGAGAGGAGTTTCTTGACCTGCTCTGCATCTGAGAGGGAGTAGCACTGCAACAGCAGCAGCGCCTTGAGAGCGGTGTATTTCCCTTGTGTGGGGGCATCCCGGAGAAGGGTCATCACACGACAGGTGGACAGTGGAACGAGCGAAGCCACCACGTGATGGTATTTCGTGTCGTCGGCTGAAACGCTTCGAAGAGCAAACTGAGCTTCGACGTGCACGAATCAAGAAGGAGGGTTGTGAAGCCGAAAATCCGGCGGCTTAACCACCAAAGCAAAAATGAAAACATACAGCTCTGCTATCACTTCTGACATAAATGAAGACAGAAAACAAAACAGCAGTGGCGTTTGTAGGGTTACTGAAGTTGGGCTAGCTGGTATAGCTGGTATATAATGATGTGCTGTGTGGTGGCTAGCTACACAGCTATGGTTAGCACATTATAAACACACTTTTTTCACGTCACGCTTTGCGCCACGTTATTGTTTACATGAGATGAATTGCAGAATGGCAGATAGAGACAAAATACTGTTACTGTTAATCTTACTATCTTCAGGTTTTACATGCTTACGTATACACACGCAGTTACTGTCCCTCCATTTACAAAGTCAGAGGCATCACGGTGTGATTATTTTACGTGTAGTTGTTTTTTTCCTGTGTAATAATATTCAACGTTGCTATCAATACATTTTTCAAAAAATGCCTTTCTGTGCAAAATGGGTCCAAAAATATAAACTGTGGGATACTGTTTGTCCATGATTTAGACAGGGGGAACAAATCGTGGCAGGATCAGCCTGATATTATTTGTATCCCACTGTAACTTTACTGTATAAAGAGC